TTGAACGCACATATGTCAAAACATGCTTAATGTAAGCAACAATCAGTGAACAATATAAATTCAACGACTGATATTAATAAAATAAAATAAAATTTTTCATTTGCAACAACGAGCGCCTATCCATCCATATGAAGGTAGTTATCGGAACGAACAATCATTATACTGTTGAACAACAATAATAATAAAGGAAAATACAATAACAACAGTAACAAAGTACATCAATGTTACTCAATTAACCAAACGAGCTGATATACGACAACGATTATTCACTATTTTTCAATGAATAAATACATATCACATAACTGATTTAACAATTATCAATCCGTGGGTCAGACTCAATGGTTAAGAATGACACATCAAATATCCATTCAATGCGATCAATCAAATAACAACAACAACAGCAACCATTTGTTATCATCAGCAATATAACATGAGATTGAAATTCGTGATTAATGAATATATGATAACAATTCCCAATTGGATGGTCAGATTATATCAGCAGGCACCGATCCATTCGTATCATAACATGACAGTCACAGCCGACCGACCACTTATGGTTTCATCGAGATACGACAAGTGGACTCTTGTGGCGATGAAAGAATCAAAGCAATCAACGATTTAGGCGGTGCACTAGCCACTAAACTTTCAACGATATTATCGACGTGTTTTGCAGTTGACGACTCATCTTCTTCAGATTTCGATAACAATTCTGAATCCAGCTCAATCACCGCCAGATTGTGCTGTAATAGTTCCTCACTTATCGTCTCCACCAACGCTTCGGCCGACTCGAAGGAACGACTGTCGTGAAATTTCGTTCTGAAACAAACAAATCAAAAAACGATCGAATCCAATCAAACATACGGATGAGAAATGAACATTTCCTCATAATCTTCATCTAAAATGATCGCAGAGAATTCAGGATGATTCATGAAGTGTTTAGCAGCAAATTTTTGGGAATTGTAACTATTGGAAAGGTGATGTTTTCAATTGAGTTTTCCGGTATTCCCATAAAAATTTGCAAACATGCTCAATAAAGGGAAGAACGATTGAATGAAACACTAAATGATTTCTCGCTTACCTTCGTGAAGACTCAAAGTTGCAATAATTTTCGTGCGTACAACACAGGATACTTTTGTCTTTTGTTTTCAGCACCTCATCAATCAACGACTTCGTTCCAATATACGAGCTTGTTCCAAGTGCTGAACTGCAATTATAGCTTTCAAAGTTTCACTCAATATCTTCCCTGATTCATTTTTAATTATTGAGAAAGTACAAAAACATTCCAAAACTGAAGATAAACTGTTGCCATTCTGAAACTGAAGCTGAAATATTTTTGATTCTTCCATTATGACACTCGAGAAACATGACTCGTCAACGTTGTTCACCAATGAAGCCTTCACTATTCGAAATTCGTGCAATTCAAAATTCAAAACGATCGCTCTATTACACCCACCTCCAATCCAAATGTTCACCAGATGCATCCGATACCTCCGGCTCGTTCTTCATAGAACAACACACCACACAAACCGATGTACGATTCGCGACACACGCACAATCCTTCACTGAACACTTCACATTCTTTGCACGTCCACACTCATCACATAACCGATTATCACGATCAGTAGTTTCGTTTCTCTGAACACAAAAAGAAGTTTGTTACAGAACCCTAAATAATACTAACATAAATAAGGGCCACAATGTGAGAAGTAACGATGAAAGGCATTGAAATACAAACCTCTGCTCGAGATGGCTCGCCTGAACGTTTTCGTTTCCTCGGTGGTTGTTCTTGCTCGGAATAATCCTCCTTTCCTGCAGATGAGATTTGTGAATATGGTCGAATCGTTGCGATCCTCGCACCACTCGTCGTCAAACCATTCTGCCGTGCCCACACGTCAAAATTCCAACCAAACGAAACATTGCCGAATTCGAAGCTAAAACGGTTCATCACAAAAATAGAACCACATCGGCTGAATATACCAGTGCTATCTATAACTATCTTTAAATATGGCGTATATGATACGACCACATTCGAGTCGTCTTATTTCGAGCGATTCTAGTAAGTATCCGATTATAGTAAAACACTCTTTCAGCAGCATAACGCACTGAATTATTTTCAAAATTATCGTTAATACCGTTATCAGAATTACGGCATTCATCACTGCGAAATGAAATATATGACAGAAGCCAATATCTACCTTATTTTATGGAATCAAAAAATAATATTACACCAATTCTTCAAAAGACAGAAACCAAATGAGTAAAGTCAAAATATCAAGTACCCTTTTTGCAGTTTCATTTTTATTAAACGCATTGTTGCGACAGCATCCTCCACTGAGCAATGTCCTCGTTTGTCTTGAATCGTCTCACCCAAAAAAAGATCTGTCAAAGTCTGAAATAAATGATACGATCATGTTAAATAATGGCTTCTTCCACGAGGAAATCAACAATGGTCTATTAATCGCATTGATATCTATGCAGTGCAGAAGTGACAGTTTACTTACCTGAAACAAAAATCGATTCAGAGACAAAACAGTTCCA